CTGCACGCTGACGGTCCAGAAAACGCCAACGATCTGATGTGCAATCCCTGAATTTAACTTTTGCATCTCGTGCACTGAAGTTTGTTTCTGACCTGAGTGGGAGTGGGCTCGGAGCTCTGACCTGAAGGCCTTGGAACGCCTCTGGATGTTCTCCAGTCTCTGGATCCTGAAGCTCAGCTGACGGATGTTTCCCTCCAGCTCAGCGTCACTCAGCTCCACCCTCTGAGTCAGACGGCTGAAGGTGGACAACAGCTCCCTCAAACACAAACAGAGCAGATTAGAGGCGGAGCCTCCAGGTGGACATGTGCGTCAGGCGTGGGCGGGGTCTTACTTGCACACCTGATGGCTGCAGGCGCTGCTGGCGACGGGGACGATGGGTCTCAGGCGCTGAGCGGCGTGCTCGACAAACTGCTGCTTCAGAGCGCGCTCCCTGCTGGCATCGGTCCAGGTGAGTTTCTCGTACAGGTAGAGGAGACCATACAGAGAGACAGAGAGGGCGATGAGACGCCAGCCCACTGAACGCCACACCTGCAGCGACAACAGCACGCACCTGAGAGACACACACCTGTCCCCGATTTTAACAGAGCCCTCGTGGAAAAGATAAGAAGTGGCTCGGAGTCGGGATCATTCCTGGACTAATCTCCTGGAGAGAGACCGTCATAGAGGCCTGCGTGTTTATTCGCCGCAGACGCTCGGCATCGGTCTCCTGCACTCGGCCCTTTGTTATGATTGGCCACCGTCTGGAAGCCTGCCGAGGGGCAGCACCTGGTTACTGAACCTCAGCAATGCTGTAAAATAAAACGTACCACTCCGCCGATCACCAGCACCGTCATGGACGCCCTGGATGTGACGGAGACCAGACCCGTTGCTATGGAAACCACCATTTCATCCCTGAAGCTGGAGCGTTCCTGCAGCAGAGAGACAGTTTCCATGTGCACTCTGTTTTTTCTGAAGGCTTCACAGATGTGACGCTGCGCTGAACTTGCCTTCTGCGCGCGGTCGGCGCCACTCAGCGCTCGTTTGGCGTTCGCGGCACCGATGAAGCGGGTGACGAGGGCGGTCCAGCCCAGAGAAAACCGGAAGTCGATGTTCTCCTGAAAGTCTGCACACAGGGCGGCGAGGCCGAGGTCGTAGGTCAGCTCGAAGGAGGCGGAGGGAGTGGAGAGCTGCTCCTGCAGAGCCGGCGACAGCAGAGGACGGACGGCGTCTGAGGACAACCAAGCAGAAGAAAGAGTGTCAGCTTCCTGTCAGCAGGAGCGCCGTCCGTCTGTACATCTTTATCCATAAAGCACTCAAAGACAACCACAGCTGACACAAAGGACCACAGGACTAAATAATAACACGTACATACAAAGAACACGTGATCAAACTGTGAGGCGTTACCGATCATGTGACTTTGGACGTCTCTGATGTCTCTGAGGACGCCGACAGAGCAGCGGTGACCCAAACCGCCGATGAGCCGCTCCTCCACGTGCTGCAGCAGCTTCTAAACAGGAAATGACACAAAAGCGCCGTCAGACAGACGAAGGGCCGAGAGCGACACTTGGGGGGAGCTCTGATGTAGAGCGAGGAAACCAATCACAGAACAAGCTCAGGGCGGACACATGGGGGAGGAGGAGGGGCGACAAGTGGGGGGAGGAGGAGGGCCGCATGTTCTCATCTTCTCCATTCTCCTCCCCCTCTCCTGCCCCCTCAGCCTGTCTCACCCTCTCCCTCTCAGCAGAAGATATCAAAAGGGAACTGGGCAGACTCCAGTAGATGGACGCCCCACTGGTAGGTTGGATCACGGACTATTTAGCAAGTCGACCACAGCATGTTCGGCTGAAGGGCTGCC